GAATGATGCTTGAATTTAAAGATTGAGCATTTTTCACAGCTTCGAGAATTTTTTCTTTGCCTTTTATAATTGTTCTGACCGACAATTCCGGTAGATCAAACTTCTTTGCCAATTCACAAATTTTCGTTTTTGTATCGAAGTTTTTAATAATGGGTACGTTCGTAAAGTCAAACGAGTTAAACGCGTTAGTAATGAATAACGATGATGTCATTCTCGTTTAACTCGTTCGACTTTACGAACGTACCCAATGTTAACTTTACATTCAAAAGATAAAGTTTTTCTTTTCTTGTTTGATGCAGAAGAATTAGTTCTACTTCGTTTGGATGACATAGTAGTCTCTCAAGTCTCCATAGATATAACAAACAAAGAAATAAATCACACAAAATAAATTGTAGCTATGTGTCGATTCTGTGCAACACATCCGAACATGTAAGCTGAACAATAGTGTGGGGGGACTGAGTAATCAAGGGTTGCGTGGCGCTCAAAAGATGAATCGACGCGATTTGAAAATCACATAGCTCCGGGTTTGCGTAAGTCGGGGTAGTGTAAGTCGAGGTATTACTGTATATATTTTTGAACTTTTAACATAAGAATTTCTCTCTCAAATGTGATATACTGTAGAAATGGTTACACATTTTATTTACATCTTGTCATCTATTCAGCCTGAATCTGTAGTCTTTTGTAATGTCAAAATCATTTCAAAAGATTCGATTCTTGTTTTTTAGTTTTGCTAATTTTGAAGTTTCAAGGGGAAACAGATTGATGTAACACACATCAATCTGTTTCTCCTTAGTCTAATGTGTGTTCCTGACATGAGTGAATTAACTTTGGGAACATTCTGTATTCTGTAGCAGGATGTTAAGTGACTTTCCTTCCCACCCTGTAGAATATGCAAATACTATGATAAAATTTTTATACTTTTTTAGTCATGTAATATTTTATTTATTGTTTGCATTTAATAATAATAATTAAAAGATACTGCAAAACTGGATGAGATTACAATAAAAACATCAAATATAAACTATGCAACATTTCATAACCTGAAATTGGCTGTTAAAAACAGTTGAAAACATTTTTAACAGCCAATTTTGTTTTTACAATAAATTTGTTTGTTTTAACTGGATTACAGGTGATAGTTGGTGCTTTTATAATTACAATTCATAAATGATATAAAAACGTTAAATAAATTTTTTTACAGGTATATATTTGTATTTGACAAAGTGATGTTAATGTGCAAGTCTACACGAGTAAGTAATTCTATAATTATAACTTAAATTTATTTTATATTCTCTGTTTTGCTGAAATTATATTGAATGTGAAAACTTTATACTGATTTTTGTAATACATGAAAATAATTAAGTTATTTTAAAAAATTAACAGTCTACACTAGGGGTTTTCAATACATGTTCAGTGGAACACAGATGTTGTGCAAACTTGGCCTAAATGTTACATGAAAAAAGCTTTTAAAATTTTTATTGCAAATTTATTCCAATGTACTACAACATATCACTTTATTTATACATAATTCCATGTATACTAATTAATTAAAATTCTCAATGTCCTTTTTCTTACCAAAATATAAATTTTCGTCTATAATAACGTATCTTCTATTACCAGGACTTATTATACTGGCACTACAGAAAATTTTACAAAGTTTTACAGAAAAACATTTTTTATTTTACTTAATATACCTGACAGGCGGGGATACTCACCACTATACTCATCGGTTGTATAGTGGTGAGTATATTGTATAGTCCTGGTAATAGAAGATACGTTATTATAGACAAAAATTTATATTTTATTCCATGTATACTAGCTTATTCAATACAGTAAAGTTTACTGCTTCATTGTTTTGTGAGAATAGTAAGCACAGAATTGTGCATCAATTTTTGAATACATTTATGCTAATGCACCACAATGAATGATGTTCTGCAGCCTCAGAAGATTGGTTCTGGTTTATGCAATCATATTTAAATATATACAATGCCACACTATTATGGAAGGATAGCTTAAAATCTGGTGTAACAAGTTACTTCCCTATTAATGTTAACATTTTTTGAAGCACCCTGAATTTATTATCTATCTAAGTCTAAAATTAAACAAAAGCGAGTATAAAATTCATAGTTTACACATTAGAATCAGCAGAAATTTCAGAAACAGTTGATTTCAACATAAAAGAAAACGTTTACATTAACGTTTTGTTAATGAAAAATTTTAAAATTAATATTATACATTACAAAATAAATGTGACTTTCACAATTGTTTTTCTTGAGTTATTTAATCAGAAATGGAAGATCAATTTTACAAACAGATAAATGGAAATGTTATAAAATATATAAGATGATTACAATATAATTAAAGAAATATAAAATGAGGCAATGAGCGAATAACTGCTCTCATTTCCTCATCTTCACTAGTTGGATTAAGTGAATCATAATTTTGCAAAGTCTGTTTATTTTGGAACTTGTGGGAATTAAATTTAAATAATTTAAAACAATTATTATCTGATTATAACTAAACTTAAACTTTACACTATATTGATTGTGTAAAATACATGTCAAAAGGACTTTGTGGATATGCCTTTTTCAGAAGCCCTTAAGTAAATTTGTTAAAGCTTTTATGTAAGATAAATGTCATCATGATTTTTTCTAGGTTTGAATTAGAAATTTTATTTCTAATTAATTAAATTATTAATTAGAAACCTTAATATTGAAAATTATAAAATTTTCTGTTTTTTATGAGAATATTTTCATTTTAATGATTATGATATATGTTATAACAGGCTATTGTTTTAAAAATAAAGTAAAATAATTAAAATTATCAAAAAGTATTAAAGCTTCAAAAATTTTTCATTTAAAAAAAAAATAATATATATATTAGATGCTAGCATAACTTTCAGTTTGTTTAAAGTGATGTATAATTATATTTTATGATATTTTGAAAATTTGGGACAGTTTTTATGGTAATTTGAACAGTAACTGAATTTTTTAAGAACACAAATCAATTTTCTATTTATTTTAAAAATGAAAGAGCATTATTGGCAAACCAATTCCTATTTACTAGGCACTATTCCTAATTTCTTATTATTATCCCTAACTCATTTACATAAAGCATAAAACTGAAGAAAGAATAAGAGAAAAAAATGTTGCTTTTATATATTACTTTTTCTTTAGTTTTTTGTCTTGTGAGCATTAAAAAGCTTTCTTCCTTGCCCATTGTGATTTGGCCAAATACATGGTGAGACTAACTGAGTGATGAGGTAATAGAGTCTAATATAATAATGAAAATTTCTGACTTGGTGTCTTTACTATTCAACCATCTGGTTATCTACAGTATTATGATACATTATAAACAAATACATTATTCTCTTTCAGAGATAGAGAATAATGTATTTGTAATTTTACTGGATAATGTTACTGATAATGTTACTTGTAATTTCAAAGGATTTTGCTTTTATGTAGATAAAAATAATGAATAAAACAAATTCATAAATTAAAAAGACAAAAAAATATAATTTAAGTAATGCCATTTACTAAATGTTGTATAGTAAATTATTACTTCTATTATAATAAAAGTAAACAAATTTTTCATCATTATATTGGATGTAACCTATAGTATAGAAAAAAATAGATTATAATTATACACATTATTAAATATTATATATTCATGATGGCCAAACTGCAGCTCTTCTAGATCCTTACTTCAGCTCTTCTATATCCTTACTGTATTCCTGTACTGTACTGTAATTATAATTAAATATATAGGAATACATATCCATTGTATAAAATACCACTTTTTATAGAGAATGCTAGTCTTATATTTCTGATAGGCAATATACTTATAGTTTCTGTTATATACTATATATTTTCCATAAACAAACACATATTAGTAAGAAAGTATACAGAAAAGCTATTTTTACACAAAAATTTTTAAAGTATTTTGAAAAATGTTGAAATGAAAAAGGTTTTTGAATATTAATTAAATGAAATAATATAATTAAAAATAAACAATTTCAATAGTATAACTTACTTTGATAGCTATTTGCAGCATAAGTAAATTGACAAGAAGTGTTGATACTTACAAGTAGTTTGTTTAATGATGCACAACTTTTAGTGTCTGTTTTATTTTTCCTGTACTCATTGCATCAGTGTTGAGAGTAAACAACACTAAAAACAATAGATACAGATGTATCTACAGATTTAACATAAAGTTCTTCCTTTAATTTGTTACAATCTCAATTTATTATATGTCTGTTTTAAAAAATAACAAATTTTTTAAAACAGACATATAATAAACTAATAATCTTGAATTTTTTTGAGAATTTTGCAATATTAATTTATATATGGCACATAATACTACTAAAAACATTAGCTTAGAATAGGATGATAATTTGACAAACTTTATTGAATATATTCTGAAAAAACATGATAAAACCCATTTAACAACACATCAGAAGTAGAAAACTTAGTAAAAATTATTTTCAAGTAAACTTAGTTAGTTTTTTTTTATTGTTTTGCATAGTAAAGCTGAAATCATAAATAAGAATTTTTAATGATATTGATGAATAGTTATGAATATTAATGAATAATGAAATTTTTGATAATTTTTTTTGACTGATTTTTTGTTTAACAGATTTGTGACTTCATTTTGATGCGATAAACATGAATCTGTATTTAATCTGTATTTACATAACCATTAAAGTTATTGAATTAATTATAATTCAATTACAGAAAATGGTTTTTTATTTCACAAAGTATTATTTTCACAATACTGTTTATAATATAGGAGAATTATTTGTCAAATAGTTTTACTATTTCTGCAAACTAGTAAATAAATTGAATTTATTGCATGAAATGTTCTTTAAAGCTTATCAAATTTGAATTACTGCATAAGAGTCATATACTGTGTTTCCCCGAAAATAAGACATCCTCAGAAAATAAGACCTAGCACAGATTTTGCTGAATTGCGAAATATAAGACCTCCCCCTGAAAGTAAGACCTAGCGAAGTTTTTTTAGTCGTAACGGTCATTGACAGATGGTTGAAAGTGGCCGTTGGCTTTTTGAAAGTGCAGCCACTGATTGGTAAGCAGACAATTACGCCACACGGCATGATTTGCAGAAGACTATGGCTTGGGAATCACAGATTTGCATAACGTTACGGCTGGTGATGGCTAATTGGTCGGCCGGGAATCACGCCACATGACATTTGCATAGTGCTACGGTTCA